GTGTGTGTGTGTGTCTGAGTGTCTGAGGGTGACATATGCAGGAGTGGAGGTGCCCTTGGAAAACAGGGATGCTGGACTCCATGGGGCTCTCACAGCGGCTCTGAGTTGCCACACGTGTTTGGTCAGGAACTAAAGTCGGGTCTCTCAGCCACTGAACCATCTCCCGAGACCTAAGCCAGGGCATTTCCAAGCAAACCCGTCATGGTGGCGACGCATGTAATCTCCTCACTCAAAGGCTGAGACAGGAGGATCACCAGCTTGGGGTACAAGATGAGATGCTATCTCAAAAAGACACACACACACACACACACACACACACACACACACACACACGCACGCAAAAAAACCCAAAACACGAAACAAAAGCCTCTAGTTCTCTATTAATTATATGCTAAATTTAAAAATAAGAATTTTTATCAAATTAATTTATTTTTATTGAATTAAAAAAAATCATTAAAATGACCTCCACCTGCTGGATTTTACATTTCTTTCAAATGTTTTCTTCATTTTACTAATTTGGGGGTGGCCTGTGTGTGCGCCACAATGTGTGGAGGGCTGAGGACACACGGTAGGGCTCAGACCTTTCTCTCTACCCCGTGCACCCTGGCCCTGAGCTCAGGTGCCAGCTGTCTTTACCCACTGAGGCCCCTTGCATGTCCTGTGCTTTCCTATTTTGGTATCACTATTACTAACTTAGGATCACACACCTGCTGTACAATAATGCTCTCAAGGGCTCATAAAAGCAAAGGCCAAATCCGTGGGTTTGCAGACAGCAGAAACACCTTCCTAAATGAACGGGAGATTCTCTGTGTGTGTGCTGGAAGACACAACTGACACACTTGTGTGTACGTTAGAAAGTGCAGGTACCACGGGCTGGTCTTCTCTCAATAACGTCAGTCTGTGGGGTGTTTCCTTAATCATGACTGATGTGGAAGAGCCCCGCCCACTGTGGGCGATGCCACCCCGGGGTGGGGTCCTGAGGTGTGTCAGAAAGCAGCTGAGCGAGCCCTGAGCAGCCCGTCCATGGCGTCTGCGTCAGCTCCCACCCTAGGCTCCCGCCCTGCCCTCCTCCAGGGACAACCGCGATAAACTGAGCAAAATAAGCAAGCCCTGCCCCCACCAAGCTGCTTGTGGTCAGTGTTTCATCACAGCAACAGAAACCCTAAGACGACATGTATGTAAGCTGGAAGAGCTATGTGTGCACACAGGAAAAAGTGTGTGTGTATGCGCGGGTATGTGTGCACATAGGAAGATGTGTGTACATACGTAGGAAGATGTTTATGTGAGCACACAGCAAGGTGCGTGTGTGTGTGTGTGTGTGTGTGTGTATAGTAATGTGCATCTTTGTGTGTG